GTAGAGCAGAAACGTAATTAAACAGTGGGAAAGACATGCTTGCTTTTTCCCTGTTAAGGTTTGCAGTATACTGAAATGTGGGAAGGTCAATTACCCATCTCCGCAGGATGCCCCTGAAGGTATTTGCGTTTCATACCTCAATTAACTCATGCAGAGATTGCTTTGCCAGGCAAGCAATAGATTCTGTTCCCTTTCCCCCCTCAGCTTGACCAAGTTTTTCAGAAACAAAATTTCTGTTCATGTTTTTATGTCCAACACTGAGGTTTTGGATGGAAAAATGCCCAAGTGTATGTAACAGAGTAGCTTGTGCAGATAGGAGCAAGGTTTGAAGTGCAAGAACTGTGTCCTGAGTGTCTATTTGAGCCAACATTGATCTCACATGCTTTTGTCTCTGTAGGATTTCACATTTTGGAGGTGTTCAGATTATTTCTGTTTACTCCATGCGTAGACATGGTCTAGCCCAGCAGCTATATAACACTGTTATCTAAAATAAAAATGTTAGGGACAGGTGTCCTGGAGAACTGAAATATGCTCCTGATTCACTTGTAGCAACATGTCCGAGCAAGGTCAAAGACTGAGTAACCTGTGTGCTAAGTTAACCTGCTGCAACTTTCATGTTTTCCTCAGGAGATGAGCTATTGCCTGAAGGCACAGCATTATGGTGAGACACGCTGTCGTAAGAGCAATGGCATTACTGTGCTGTCTTCAGTGGAAGGCTGGAAACCTTGCCAGGCTTTTATGTAGGTCATGTCTCGGTTTCTGTGTCATTGTATGCTTGGAGCACTACAAGAAAACACAAAAACTGGTACAATTTTTTATGTGTACCCTTTTCTGACCCATACAATGTAGATTAGCTTGCAAGCAAAAATTTCAGTGCTCACAAATAGTAAAACTGCAGGTACTCTGTGTTTACTGTCTTTACAGTCCCAAAGCTCTCTTAAGGGGGTTACAGATCCACATGAGGTTCCTCAGCAGGGCAAACTGTATTTGGGTCATTGGTTAGCTGAAAAGTCACATAGAGGCAAACAGCATCCCCTTGTCTACATGCTGGGGAAATACCATGTAATGTGTTTAATCCAGGCTCCATATGGGATAAATAGATACACTGATACAGATCTGCTCAGCTTTTAGGAGCTGGGAAGATGTGCTGCAATGGGAGATCTGTGCTGGGATGACAGGAAATGGTGACAACCTTTGCTAGGAAAGAATTGTCCCTTTCTGGGGAATCCACTGAGTGATCCATCATTGCTGTGATGCAGTAGCCTACAAACTCCTTTGGACTTCTGCCTGCTGGTCAGGCTGGCCTGTTGTGTGGTAACACGTAAAGTTGTCCTGTCCTTGCTGTAGATAACCCACCTGCAGCCAGCAGGACTCAGCACAGCTTTCACAGTGGGCATTGGTCAGCTGAAAATACTTCTTTACAGGTTGGCTCTTTGCCATAGCTGTGTCAGTCTCTTAGACTTTATTGTGACTGAAGTGTGATCATTTTGCCTTTTCTGTATTTGGTATTTGAATTTCAGAAAGAGATAAGTGCTCTAGAGCTCTGTTAGAAGTCAGAGTCTGTGCAACCTTAGGTGACAGAAACTTGGGAGACTTTGTATCAAATTCACAATTTTTTAGAAAAGAAAGAGAGAGGTAGTTTATAGCCAGCAGCATGCCTAGGGGCCTGGAGGCTGTGCTGGAATTTATCTAGCTCTAGTAAACATTTGAAAATGTGAGGTCTTGTGACTGGAGCCTAGGACAGCAACCTTCTAGAAGTGTCCAAAGTCAAAAGCATTCCTGATGTGCTGAACTATCAATGACTTTAAAGGTGATATCTTGCCTGTCCCCACAGTAGAAAACTCCTCCTTTCAGGGAGGCAAGGTACTCCCTGTCTCCAGCAGCAGCACAGTGTTTATGCACTGGTGTGGGTCCTGTGTTACACATTCCCTCCTGCCCTGCTGTCCCTGCCCGCTGTGGCTTGCCTCAGCTGTGGAAACAGGAACTGCTGAGTCAGCAGCCTGATGAAACTCACACTGCTTTCACACTTCTCTGGGGAGACTGCCACAGCAAGGAGGTTGGCAGCAACTTATATCCCGGAGAAAAAAAAAAGGAGTACTTAAACTGTCTTACAATTGCCTGAAACAATAATCTGATTTTTAAAAAACTCTCAAACTGAAGGAGGCTGTGGGACCCAAGCACTGGTGACAGATGAATGGTCAAACCTGGCACACGAGCTCATAGTCAAGTGCTTGGAGTTCAGTGAGTGTCATTTTCCTGCTCTCTCTCTTGATCTGCTCAACTACATTTTACAGAGCCGAGATCCAACTGGCTGAAGAGACAGAATAAGGACATTGAGTTCAGCTCAGCTGTCTGGTGAGGATGGAGAACAGCAGCCTGTTCTGATTACAGACTCATGCAGAGGTGAAACCATTCCCTTGGAGCTGGTGCAAGATAAAAGACTGTGAAAATTCAGATAACCCTCTCAGAAAAGCCAGGTCTCCCAAAAAGCACAAGTGCCAAAGAGGAAAGAGATTTGGCAGTGACTGCATCTCTGAGAGCAACATATCCATGGCACAGTACAGAGTAGCTAAGGTCAGCTAAATGGATGGGAAGGGGAAAGTTAACTTCCAAATGGTTTGAAAACTGGAAAGAGAGCCAAACTGAAAAAGATGGAGACATTCCAGGAAGCTATTCTACTAAGGATATAAATATGGTGTTATCAACAAGCTCAAAGTGAACTAAAGCAGCTTTAGTAGCAAGAAGATGGCAGGTTAACTGCTCCAGGTACTATCACTACAAAAGCAACACCTTCCCACTGAGATGCCCCATGTCTGCTTTCATTTAAGTGAGGTCTGCTTATTTCAGCACCATGATGCTTACTTGTCGTTATTTTTTATACTTATTAGAGAAATTTAACAATGTGTGATGCCTGTTTCTTGCTTTGCTTATCATGAGGTTTGTAAGTTAAAGCTCCAGGCCGAAATATGCCTGTTTAAGGCAATGAGGCAGCAGAGATGCATGCGTGGGTTGCAATTATCCAGGGTCATCTCCCTGGGGCTGCAGATCCAACCCGAGTAGGAGAGAGTTTGTGTTGAGGTTGCAAGGGGGGGCTACAGAGCTGTAAACGAGAAATCATTAGACTATACATACTTACATGTGTGCAGCAGATTTTCTGTGTCTGTGACAGAACATTTACAAGCTCCAAAGCTACTATTTTAGCAGGGGCTGACATTGAAAGCACAGTAGCAGTTGAGAAGAGGTAGTCTGCAGGTAGGTAAGGGTATTCTGTCAGTGGATGGATACTGGTAACAGGGGATCTTAGTGGTATGCAAGAAAAATGTATCATAAACGTGATCTAGGAAGGGAAAACAGAGACTGGTACAGTCCAAGTATTCAAAGCAAAGCAAAAAAAAAAAAAAAAAAAAAAAAAAAAAAAAAAAAAAGAAAAACATGTACTTATTTGATGCTTGGAGAACTCTGTTTGGAGAGTCAGAGTACAATGCCTAGAATCTGCAACTTAAGAAGGGAAGTTGTCAGCATTTTTTTTTTGCCTGCTGTCACATCTTTTGAGACACAACTAGTTCATCAAGAGTCAAAGTGACAGAAAGAAGATTTGCTGTGCCTATAAAACAGGTCAAACCATCACAAATGACAATTTTTGAATAAATAGTTTCAAACCTTTTTCTGAGGAAGTGGAAGGGAAGCACTGGTACTTAGCTGTGTATAAGGAGAGCTGGAGAAGCAGGCAGGTACACACGCGCACACATTGACTCTGGCACACAGATAGGGGGAATTTGGAGACCAAGACATCTGCCTTGGGAAGGCTGAACAAAGATACTGTAGGTGCTCACCATGAATCTTGTTACTTGATGTTTATTTTTAATGCTAAGATTCAACCACCTGCTGCTCTAAGAGGATTGTTCTGTCAATTTCAGTGCCAATCCGAGGCTCTCAAATTAAGGTCCGGGCACCATTAGGCTGCAGCTCAGCTCGTCGGAGCAGGGAGCTGCTGGGAGCTCCCACCGGAGCCAAACCCAGCTGCAGTGAACATTCCCTCTGGCAGCAGAGGTGGCGCCCAGCAATGCATCTTTGGCCCTCGCTTGCAGGGTTAATGATCATCCAGGGAGGCAAAGATTACCATCCTTTAAACCGTGAGAGCGGAGCAGCGTGCTACAAGTGATCTATCACCCCAGGCACACTGTTTGCTCAGGACTGCAGCTCACCAAAACACTGTCCGGCAAACACTACGCAATGCTGGGAGTGTTGCTCAAGTGCCTCATTTCCCTCTAGTGCTTCTAATGCCTGTCCTCTGCAGGCAGGACACGTTTTAACATAATACGAATAATTTTACTAAATTGTTTACAGCTGTTAGCAAAGTAGTGCTCTTGGCTTGGATAACCAGCTGGAAAAGATGAGTAACTTGTCGCAGTTGCCCCACCTATCCTTATTTATGTTTGAGAAGAAGGGGCAGCCCTGCTGGTATTGCCACACAGCATCATTTGAACGCAGAGAGGCTCCTTGCTGGCGTCGCATGCGGAGTAAACAAAGTCCGGCGGTGCCGGGCAGAGGCAGCAGTGTTTTGCTTTGGCCACCAGAGCGAGCTGCTGCTCAAGTTTTGGGCGGAGCGGCTCCGGGAGGAGCGCTCCCGTTAGCGGGCCGCGCTCGGGCACGGCCGGGAGCCGCCGCCGGACCAGCGGGGCAGGGACGGCTTCGGAAACAGAGAATTGTGTTTAATGAACACCCTCAAGGTCGAAGGCGCAGTGTGGAAACCAACCTTCCAAAAGCAGAGTAGGCTGAATTTGGAGATTATTCTAGAAACAGGTTGGATCCTTCCCGCTATAAAGAAAAGACTCTCCCCTTTGATGCAGCAAGATTCTATGGGTAGACTAATTCATGACAGACAGTCAGTTCAGATTTGTGCATGAAAATCAAGTGCTTAAGCATGGAGTTTGAGATATTTCTGACGGTTGTATCTAGTGTTATCAGAGGAGTGACTCTGCTAATACAAAAGCCACAGAACAGATATTAAAACCAGCTTGAATGCCAAAGTTGGATACAGATTTACAGCTCAGCTAAAGCTTATTACACTGCTATTGACTTCACTGGAATAGTATATGTTGCTTAAAAAGTCAGACAACCTTATTATACATTAACATTTTTAATAAAGGGTAAAACACAACAAAACCTGGCTGACAGCCATTCACTTTTACCACTAATGCAAGTGTTTCGTTTTGGCAGTTAAATACTGCTGAGCAGCAGCTCAGAAGTGCTAAGTATGGGGCCTTACGTTTTATTATCCCTGCTCTTTCCCAGTGGTTACTGATTCCTGTCAGTGAACCTTTCAGAGGCTGGCCAGATTCTGATGGTCATGATGCTCTCAGATGTTTAGGGCAGCAAATAGTTTCCAGCTGACGTTCATCCTTGCTGATTTAATTCAATAAGGCGACCAGCAAATACAGCTAATGTTCCTATAAAACAAACTAGCATAAATATGCCAAGGAGGAGATGATCAAGCACCATTGCAACAAACTTCCATTCTTCTGCAGCCTGGGAAAGAAACAAAGGAGATGGTAAAATCTCTGCAGAGCCCTGTTTGTTACAGGATTCTCGTAATTTACTATCTTGAACAAGGGGAAGGCTCTTCCCTAAGTGCCATTATTGCTATGCAAAAAATGCTCATTTTTTTCTCAAAAGCAGGTCAGTGGTTAAGAAAGCCTAAACAACCTAGAAATACAAGTTTCAACACTAAACTAACCAGAAACCCTGGCAATTTGCTGGACAATTTCATTTTAAAAAATGTTGAAAAGCTTATTAGGCCAATTGTTGCTTCTGAAAGAAAGTTTAAAATCTTGAAAGCAAAATGCTTAGTTTGACTCAAATGACTTTTGTTTTTCCCTTGCTTTTTTTTTTTTCTCATGAGATATCTAGGCAATTCCTAATAATTTAACCCTAACCCCTGCTTTCCATACACTCTAATGCCTTGTAAAACCTTCTTGGTAGCTCCATTAGTCTTTTTTCTAGTTGTGGGACACCACGAGCCACTTGCTCTGTACCTTTTCACTGGGAACCCAGCACAGTAAGAACATGCAGAGTGCAAGGCACCAAGTACAGCGGGGCTCATGATTTCCACCCTGGAACTCCACCTGAAGGAGTGACATGTGCTGGCCTAAAGCAGCTTCTGCTTGTGCCTTGGTGCTGCCATAAGCAGAAGAGGCTGCTGTAATTTATCTAGAGGACACTGACAATGACTACTGTTTTGAGGTGGTTCAGAAGCAAGTGCAGTGAAGTGATAGCCTTCAGAACCTTTCATTTATTTAGGAAACTTGACTTTTGAAACCCCCTGGAAGCGATATATCACTAGTGCCCAGATGACACAAACAGCTGGGCTCCACTTCCGAAGGGGTGTTTGCTGGTAACCTGAAGACCCTCCTTGTAAGCCAGGGAGGAAGTGGAGCCCAGAGATGTTGAAGCCATGCCAGCCCTGCTGAAGACAGCAATTTGTCTGCAGAGAGGCGAAGGAGTCACGGGGAACATGAGACTACAGCCAGAGCCATCCCACATGCTCCAGGAATTTGGTCACAGGAACAAACACCGTGGTGTAAATCCTGTCGGTGGCAAGGAAGCACCTCCTTTTCAAGAGAGTGAGTCAAATTATTTTGTCAGAGAGCTCCCCTGCCTTCAGACCAGCCTGCAGCTCAACAGGAAAGGTCTGTGACCACCTAGGAAGGTGAAATACCAGGACTGAATTAGCCTTGCAAAAGCTGCGTGAGCTGTGAAAGCTGAAATAAAAGAGGGGTTAATTGTACTGAATGTGCTAGAAGGAGGCAGAGCTAGGTTTTCCTAGGGAACACTGCCATGTGTGACTATATGCTTTTATCCTTCCTTTGGCTTGCAATGTGGAAAAAGTCAGTAATCAGAGTAGCTCATAACATACTTCATTTGGAGGGACTACTTGTATTCAGGAATAAAACAAAACCTTATCAAAATTGGAAATATAATTTGTAAGTTACATTTAACACTTCTCAGATAACACTACTAGGGTTTTTAGAGTTTGCCTTGCTTCCTGGGTTTTCAAAAGCAGCAGGATCTTACTTACTACAGTGGCAAGATGCCTGAGTGGGAGACCAAAGAAATGTGTTTTGGAACTTGCTTATAATTGTTGAAACTGGTTTCCTACTCAAAGACACTCCATCTCTATGGCTTCACATATCACATAAGAAAACCTTGGCACTGACATAATTGTTGAAACTGGTTTCCTTCTTCCTCAAAGACACTCCATCTCTATGGCTTCACATATCACATAAGAAAACCTTGGCACTGACATAATTGTTGAAACTGGTTTCCTTCTTCCTCAAAGACACTCCATCTCTATGGCTTCACATATCACATAAGAAAACCTTGGCACTGACACTTTTTCCTCTTCTATTATTTTGGGAAGCCAATATTCAATTAACATCTGTGACAATTATTTGTTGCTCTTTGTTGACTCCCTTAAGGGGAGAAGACCATCCACTGCTGGAGCCAAACCAGGGCTTGGAGTGTTTTTGTAAGGCAGGGATATTTTGCCAAAAAAGTAAGATGTAGCAACCTGAAAGCTAGAAATGAATCATGCACAAAAAAAAACAAAAACAAAACAACAAAGCCTTACATTACTGGCTTCTTGGTCCGATTTCATTGTTTCTGCAATGTATTTGATTCCCTCTATAGCATTTTTCACATCTGGGTTTTTGGTAAGCGGGGAGTAGAAGTTGACAGGCACAGAACCTGACTTCCCAGAAATGTCAGAAATATCAATATCTTCTGAAAAAATATTTTTGTCTTGTTTGTCTCTTGATGGTCGTTTCATTGTAGAGAAAAACATGACGTTTGGGATTGTGTCAATAAAGATCTGCGAACAAAGGGAGAAGATGACAGTGGCTGCTCTGTGGGGCTGCGCTACAGCTGCAGCTGTGCTGAACAAAGACAGCTCTCCCCTCCCGGATCCTTCCCGTGCTGCACATTCCCTCTCCGACTGTGTCCCAGCCCACGCCTCAGTCGCACCGGGGCTTTTGTCACCTCGTGTCCCGGGGCAGAGGGAGTCCCCGCAGGCCTGCAGAGTGTTTGCTGTCGGCCATCCCCCTGCCCTACACCCAGCATCCACACCTGAAGTGTGGGTGATGCCACGGAGCACATCCTCAGCTGGCACAAGCTGACAGAGCTCCAGCCATCCCATCTAACTTGAAACACATTGCCTACAAATCTGACTTGAAGATTGGACTGCAAAGAAACTCTTCTGGCTACTTAGGTTTGATTTTGCTATTATGAATGTTTGCTATACAGGTATATAAGGTTTACAGTAAGAGACTTGCTGCCAAAGCAATGTTAAGCACATGCAGCATTTCCTGCTGAAGTTTCCCTTCTGCAGGGGTTGTTTATGCTGCAGAGGGAATCTAATATAAGCTGTAACCTTAAAAACATAATTAGAAATACACAGAAAAACCTCCTTTTGTGTCATGGTTTGGTATGAACCCAGGCAGGCTTCAAAACAGCAAGGATTACTGAATAAATCAGATGGTCTTTGATACTGTCTCCCTGGCAAAGAACTTGTAATGACAGACAACCAATTTTTTCTGTGTCTTATGATTACCATTTAGACTCCTGTGCAAGGATCTCCCAAGGGCTGCAGAGCAACTCTATACTGGAAAACTACAGAGAAGATTTTGTAGCTTTTGCTAAACCATTTTTTGCAAAATGGGATGCTGAACTCAGGTATTCCCAGTGGCCTTTGTGCTCTGCACTCATGCAGGCTGGTGGCTGGTCACTGGCAGGCAGTAGTGCCTTGCAGTCAGTGGAGAATTAGGCCAGGATACATAATTTGAATCCAGATGGACATTTTCTTTTCCCATTCCCTACCTTTAGCTGCCCATGTTTTGTCTCATCTGTTCCCTGCAAGGATCTACCCCAGTGCACAATTTTGTTAATTCAAGGAGCACCTTAGCAATCTTGCTGACTTTACACACAGCTAGGTAGTAAACACTGGCTCTTGTGCTCTTTAGTGTGACGCATTTACCTCCCCAATTCTTTTTGACTTTTATTAGAAGACGTGCCAATAAAATATGGAGCATTTGGTGAAAGCAGAAGGTGTGCTAAGGCACAGAGCTCACCTTCCTGACCCAGGGGGGCATGGTGTGCGTGCTGGGGGAGCGGTGGTGGGTGTTGATGACGATGACGGTGATGATGATCGAGGCGATGACAAACACCATGGTGAACAGCATGTACTTGCCAATCAGAGGCACTGCGCTGGAGGTGGAGGGAATCAGCTCCACGATGACCAGCAGGAACACAGTCAGGGACAGCAGGACAGAGATGCTGAGGGTCATTTTCTCACCTGTCGTAAAAAAGCCAGATCCCCAAAATCATTGCTGGTCCTATCAATCAGTACAGAGAGCATTGGTTTGGGAAGCAGGATGGGTGAGAGCTGTTCACACAAACACCTGTGTGCATTTGTAGTGCCATCATCTCTGCCAGCATCCAAAGCAGCAAGTAGGCTTGGCAAACCTGAGAGCCTAACAGCATCTGCTCCAGCACTAAGGTGGGAATTACCAGGAATGACTGGGCTGAGGTGTGGGTGGGTGCTGAATGTTTTTACTTGCTAGGAGCATTTGGTGGGCTCTGCATTTTAAACAATGCAGCATATGCACCTTTGTGCTTGCTCCACAGCTTTCTGAGGGTTTGCTTCCCTTACTCTCTGTCTCTGGGCTGAGAGAGCAGACTAAAATCACATCTGACATCAGGTCAGTTGCTATGCATGTGGATGGTGTCAAAAATGAATTACAAAACATTATTCACACATTTTTTTAAATCCGGTTCAACTTTGTAGAAAGTTTTCCACTTTAAAAAATGCATCAAGTATTTAATAAGAAGGGGCATACACTGAAATTAAGTGGTATGAAAAGCCGACAAAAGGCAAAAAGAATCAAGGAGATGAAATGGTTGCAGGGAGCATGAGTGGCTCAGCAGAGACAAAGGAGGCCAGAACAGGTCAGAATTACTCTGTGTCACACAAAGTGATGTGTGTGTGAGCAGGTAATGAGCTCTCTGCTCTGACACAATGCAGAAGGGCCTCTGTCACCCCTGTGTGCTCATTTTACTGCAGTACATACTAACACACTGATTACCTAGGGCAAAACATAAAAATTATCCAGCTAAATCTTTAGTTTGCAGAAGTTAACTGGATAGCTAGTCAGCAATTTCTGTGGGAAAGCACCCCAATTTATTTCTATCAACAGTTTCAGTTTTCAGCACTTATCCTTTCTTTGCAGAATATTTAAAGCCATTACTTTCAGTGGAAATGTCCAGTTTTAGTATGCACTGGCCTTCAAGCTGGCTGATGGTTTCAAATACTGGGAATTTCTCAGGAATTTCTTAGAGAAGAAGAGAAATTTCTATGGAAGTAGAATGGATACATTTACATACCTGAATCTGTGGGTAGGTAGAAAACGAGCCCTGTTAGAAAGGAGAAGAGCAGGCAGGGGATGATGACGTTGACAATGAAGTAGAGGGGCAGGCGCTGCATGAGGAAGTGGTAGGTGATGTCCAGGTAGGGCGTGTCAGGGCAGCAGGCGTAGTAAACCCAGTGCTTCCAGCCACGGTAGTCCTTCATCACCCACTCCCCGCTCTCCATGAAGTTACTCAGGTCTGGACGATCGCTCTCCTGGCAGCAAAACACCCCAACAAATTCTTAATGCCAGGTATTCTGAGCCAAATCAAAACTTAGCAGGTTTGGCTCAGGAATGTGATTCCAAATAACTCATGCACTTTGTGGGGTTTTTTTGTGAGTAAAAAACTCTCATCTATGTTATTTTTCCTTACAATACCAGCCTCTACACAGCATTCAACTGAATATTTTACAGAAACAGTCAGGATAGTAGACTGAAAAAATATGACAGACAGGAGATGTACCTGAGGGAACAGGGAAGGAGTCTTTGGCAGTGTAAAGTCATGAGCAGAGAAAATATACCCCCTCAGAAAACTCTAAACCCAAGAAAACAAACAGAAGTAGAACAGGCAGCACCATAAAAAGTGGTGCAAAGCTGCCAGAGGACAGACAGGAGACTGTCAGGGCACAGGGATAATATGTAAGAAGAATTTAGGAGCCAAACCAGGAAATCTTGTGTCAGATCTACAAATGAGAATTTTCTCTTTTACAGGTAGGGTCTTCTTGTTTTTCCTGTCAGAACTAGGTCATATTCCATTCTAAATCTGAGATCTCTCTTAAAAAAACACGTACAGGTCTTTGCTGCTTTTCCCAATTACAGACTCCCTGCTTACCGGGTTAATAACAACCACTGTGCCATCGTATGTCCAAGTTCCCAACTTCATGCTGCAGTTCTGCTGGTCAAAGGGGAAGTGTGTGACTACGATTTCACAGTAACTCTTAAAAATGGCTGGTGGTGTCCAGGTGATCCGACCTGTGTGCTCCAGAAGGACTTTGGTGTATTTTACAATGGCAAAATCCCCGTCTGCACTGCAGAAGGAACAAGGACATTGAAAGCAATATGGGCAGCATAATCAGCAGAGTCACAAAAGGATTTCTCTGGCTGTGGGTCAAATGACTCCCCAGTGCATGCTCCTGGAGAGGCTTTCCCTGAGGAATTGTACCCACTGGAACAGATGTCATGGGAAAACTGTCCCACCAGGGTGGTGCCACAAGGTAGAGCTCCTCTCCCCTCCCTCCCTGCCTCCCTGAGCAGCTGGCACCCCTTACTTGTTGTAAAGAACAAGGTCTGGCCGCCAGATATCATCTGAGGGGATGCGGATTTTTTTTACGCCACCGTAGTCATCTGGATTCCATCTGAGGTTGACGTCTGTCCATTGCTAAAGAGGGAAGATTTCAGTCCCTGAGAGCCCCTCCCAGCACTGGGGTTAGTTTGAGTACTTCCCAGAAACAGCTTCTCCCTTGCTTTGGGATATGCAGGTAAGCATATACATGTGGGAGTGGGACCCCCAGCTCATTTTTTACATTAACTTATACTTTGGTATAAGAAGCTTATTAAAAAAAACCAAAAACTCCAAAAGAAAATAACACAAAGATATCAGATGCCTACTGTTTGAAATACAACCCCAAATGCTTTTCTTAAAACTCTTAGCATCTAGAGTACTTTAATCTTTAGATCTCAGTAAGAAGAAATGCTCTACTGTCTGACCCACCTCTCCAGGCTGCCCCTGAAGGTATGAGAGTGTAGTCAATTCCTTACTGTGTTGAGTGCATTTATTTGAATTAGATTAAATGCTTAAGAATATTTAGAGTTACCTGTTTCAGGCGCACATTGGTTGTCACAATCTGATTTACTTCATCCTTAAAAAAAAGGAAAGGGATAAAAAAAAAGCAGACAGCACCAGCAAGCATCAGGATTAAAGGATAAAAATGGTTTCCTTAGAAAAACACCACCATTTGGCACGATCACATGAGGCAGTGACTCAACACTACCCGTGTCCCACCGTACCACGCTGATGAGCTGGATGAGCTGCAGCCCCACGGTGACGACGACGGCCTCGCGATGGTCCTCCACAGGCCGCACCACCTTGTTGTAGTTACTGAACAAGTCCTCCACCAGGCGGGTCTCGTCCTCATAGCCCAGGGCCAGCCCAGCTGCACAACAGCCAGAAAGGACAACAGGAGTCAGGAGGGGCAGGGAAGGGCTACAGCTCCATCGGTCTGAGGCTGGCACGGAGGAAATGCTGCCAGGCAAGCTGCTGGTGGGGGATGTCACCAAGTCCTCCCTGTGACAATGGCCTCCCACCAGGAGATGAACAAATGCAAACAGGCAGGATCATGAACATCAGACTGAACATCAGGAGTCTTCCAGCCTGAAACTGTGCTAACATGCAGTACTTATGGGCTGTTAAACACAGAAAATGTCCAGTGTCAGGGGTTTCTAATGTTGCCTTTTCCACCTTCAACCCCACAGACCTTCTGTGACACTGACATTAAAGGTGAGGGCCAAGCACACCAGTCATGGAGAAGCCATCACCATCCCCACTCCTTGCATCTGCAGTCTAAGTGGAACAAGAGCTCCTCTCCACAATGGGAGTTGCTGGGGTTGTGCAGGTGGTGAGAGAAGGAAACCGCTCACTGTGTGGGGTAGGTCCATGGCCGGCTCTGCCCACAGGCTGCCCAGCATGACTTGGCTGTGCTGCACCAAAGAGCCGTGAAGGAAAAACTTCCCAGGTGAAAATGACAGGGAACAGCCCCGTTCCATGGGAGCCTTCGCAGTGCTGTGCATGGCACTGCCGTGCCAAGAAGCAAGGGCACTGGGGACAGACGGGCCCTGCCTCCAGAGAGCCTGGGGCAGGGGGAGCAGGCACACAATGACCTCAGATTTTAGCAGGCACACAATCACCTCAGACTGTAGCTGCTTCACTGGTACAGGGGGGAAAGCAAATGGGAGGGGTGCCTGGGGATGTTTTTGTGTCTCCCCTCTTAAAGGCAGTGAGAGGGAGCAGAACAGTTGAGCCTCACTGCAAGCATTTTTGGCAGATTGCACCCTCGTCTCCCACTCTCTGTTGAATCCTGGGCCACAGAAGTCAACAAGAATTTTGCTGCTGACTCCAACCTAAGCTAGGATTTCTGCTGGTTTTCTAACTGACTTTTCATCAGCTTTTACGTAGCTGAGCTGAGATTGCCAAGGGTTCTGCCTTGGCCTTGTCCTGCCATGAGATTATATTAAAGTACTTGGATGCCAATCAGAAAAGCTGTCTGTTGCAGACAGACACTGTTTGCTTCCTCTGCCAGGAGGCTGAGTGAGGGTAGACAGGAGGCATCTTTCAATGTTTAAGTTATGATTACAACAACCCATCTAATTGAAGCTCTATGCTTGATTAACGCTATTAAAATCCTTTCACATTTGCTCCCTTCTGGTGTAGCTTGGTAGGAATTTAGTATACTGCTTGAATTTTCTGAAAAGCTTTTAGGATTACAAATATTTATTCTTTTAAGGGACAGTTCAAAAAGATTTAGCTCAGTACAACACATGCAGCTGCCAATCAATTCTACCTCCCTGTCAGTCACCCCACAACTTAATGAAACTCCTTGTAATGATTTTTCCCATTCCAAGTCATGCTTACTAGATCCTTTCCCATATTTTGAAATACATGTAGCACTAAGGCAAACGGGGGCATGAAAAAAAGATTGCAGAGACAAAACCAATTAAACACAAACTTCTCCACTGAAAATATCTGGTGCCTGAAATTACAAATATCTGAGCTGCTACTTAATGCACCCCCCTAAGCTTTCTTATAAATGATTGGGTGTGTTCATAAAACCTTACCAGTGGGACAGGCCCCTCCTGGAACACATCCTTGCTCGTGCTGATGTACATGCAGAGCCCTGGAAGGAGACAACCCCCCTTCAAGGCAACAGCTGGAACACCTTACCTGTGCAGATGAGGAGGAGGAGCACACAATGGACCTTCATCGTCCTCTTGCCGCAGTCATACAGATGGAGGCACGCACAAAGCACTCTGAGTCTCTTGAGAGGGGGCTGTGCTGCCAAAGCACACCCAGCAGGGTGTTGGCTTACAGCACCTGTTCTGGGAGTGACAGCTGAGGGCCACTGCCCCACCGGGCTGGAAACAGGAGCACAGTGTGTTTCACCCATCAAATATCTTCTGTGGTTTACAAAAGGTCATTTTTTTTCTAAGTATCGATGTGGTCTGTGTCTTACTAAACAAATACACACACAAATAAACTAAGAAAGAATTATCTGTAAGTAACTGAGCACAAATATATATACTGCACACACTTATATACGCACAACTATCTACCTTATACATACATGATTATCTACTCTGAGCTCAACAATATCACTCAGGAACAAAACCTTGAGAGAGAGAGTCCTGTGAAGTGTTCAGCAGCATGAGAAAAGCCAGTCCATCAGTTTCCAGGAGAGGAGATGAAGCAAAAAGGAAAGATGCCACTATAAATCTGTGAATGTTCTTTGCAGTTCAGGTCATCTGGTTTCAAAAGACTTGGAAGAGGCCCAGGAGAAAGTGACAACAACATCCACAGTGCAAATTGGCTTCTGTACCTGGAACAGATAGAGAGTATGAGCCATCAGTCTGAAAGCAAGACAGAGAGCTTTGGTAGTGTCTGTAAAATCCCAAATGGTCTGGAGAAGGCAGATTTGGATTCACTTGCTGTCGCCATGATAAAAAGTAGAGAATATTGAGGTAAAAGTTGTCCACCTTAACCAAGACAGCTCTTCACAGAGCGTGTCTGCAGTGGAGTTGGGTGCCACAGGAGTGTCTCTTTGCAGAGGTCTATCCCTGTTCAGAAAAAATAGTCTGCCAGATAATTTTATACTATTGAATGTACACACACACACTCCCCCTAAGAAGTCTATCACTGACTCTGGGGTGGTGTCCTGGGGATAGATTGCCAAATACTAATGGTGTTCTTGCATTTTTCTCAGGCAGCTGCCATATGGAGATAGGACATGGCTCTGGGTGACCTGCCACAGCCATTCTTACACTGTGTTCCAAATTTCCTTTTCCAGAAAACATTCCCCACAAACGCTTCCTTAGCTTTGCCTCTGGGTGACACCAGAGGTATTTTCTATTTCTGCTGTATATCCTTGGTGCTGTCTGCCAGCTGGCTTGGTGTTTCATGCTGGATGCCTTTATTATTATTTTAATTATTTTTTAATCCCTTTCCCTCACCCACCTCCCTCCAGTAAGCATCCGGCCTCCACCTTTACATTTCTCCTCCAGTACAAACTCTCCATCTACATAACTCTGGCCTGGTTCCTGGCCAGCAGCTCCCATTGTTGCAGAGATCTTGTTTCAAACCCGCGTCTGAGTGCTCCCAGCCTTTATCCCAGGCCGGCAGCTGCCGTGGAGATACAATTCCATGGAGGCATTGTGGGAATGCTGAGCAGGGCCCTCCGGATCCTCTCGGGCTCCCAAAGCATTCCTGCCCACCCCAGCAGGGCTGCAAGATGGATGGGTGTTTCCACACCCTGGCACACGACAGCTCTCGGCTAGCAGGGGTGTCTGTCTGTCTGTCCTGACAGGTCTGTCCCTTGGGGCTGGCAGGTGCAGAGGGCGTGGGGGCCCCAGCGGCTCTGCAGTCCCACAAGGGCTTGTGGCTCTTGCAGCCGCCCCAGCCTGGGAGCCAGCGCTGTGTTGGAAGAGGAAGGAGCAGGTATTTGTGGAAGGCCTTTGGGGAGCAGCAGCCTGGCTCTGAGAAATGTTCCCTGGCAGGGACACAAAGCCTTTTACCTCGCAAAAAACCTGAGGCAACCTGAGCTACTGCAGTTAAATATGGACAGAGAAATGAGTGCTGCTTGTTGTTCGGCTAGGGAATGTGACCCATCATGACCGAGGTGGAAAAGCAAGGGAAGGGGCTGAGCTACACTGAATGCCTGAATTTGATCAATTGTTAGGGTGGGTATTTTTCTTTTTTCCTTCAGAGTATTCAGCGAATTTTTTGACAAACGTTTCTTTCCCACATAAAAATCCCTTTTAACATCTATCTTGACTCCAGCCTTTTCAGCTTGTTTTTATGAGCCCCCTCCCCATCCTTCACACAAACCGACTACCCCCCATAGTAAGGCAGACCAGCCTCATTCAGATGGATTGCAAAGCAGCAAACTCCCTGCTTGCTGGATGTAGGGCACAGCTCCTTCCATCCATGTGTGAGGAACAGGGGGTCCTGCCCAGGGACAGCCAGCTGTGAACCAATATTCCCGCAGGTGAGGAGCTTTGGCAGAGTGGCACTGCACAGGCACGGGCAAGGTGAGCAGAACACCTGATGCTTTGGACAGAGTGAGGAATAGAAGGCGCTAAGCGGAATTTCTGTCACAGAATTGCGAGCAGAGAGGCAGTGCCCAATGGAAGAGAGCCGGTGCCAGAGGCTCCAGCAGACACACGGACGACAGGGCCTGTGGGAGGGTGGAGGTGCTGAGAAGCAGAAGCAAAACTAACCAAAAGAACAGAGAAAGGTTAGAGAGTACATCAGGGAAATTAAAGGAATGAAGGCTTGAAAATAATAGCACTGTCCAGCAGTTTTAGCTTCAGTTTTCAAATGCAGTATATACCTTTTTAAATGCATTTTTGTATCGGGAAAATGGCATTGCTGGCGGCAGTAGATTATGGCAGCCCTGTAAGGCAGACGGCAGACAAACATTTGTGAGTTTGCCACGCGTCCGTTCCCAGATTTCCCAGATTTACATCCCGGCACACGTTCCCGCTGGATCCCAGCTCGGCCCCGCGGCCGCCAGATGGCAACAGCTGGATGAGGGATGAGCCGCGCACGGCTGCCCGACCGCAAACCCTCCCTGGCGAGAGAGAACGGGGAGCAAACATTTTCCACAAGAAATTCACCAGGAATTAATGCCAGTCTTGAGATGCTGGAGGACTGTACTTACCCAGCTTACTCCAGTGCCCATAAGAATATGCTAATCATTAATATACATGTCAGAACGTATTGATAAAGATTAAATTCCTCAAATCAAGAAATCCAAAGCTGCAGTTTTCCATACTCAGATACACCTCCACCAACCCACAAAAATGTTTTATCACCACGGATGTTTGTGGCAAGTTGGGTTTCAGCAGATATTTTCTCTGTTTTCTATTACATCACCCAAAGGAATTGAAAATACCAAAAACTTGCTCAGAAGTGGTGATCTTAAACTCTGCAATTACAGAGCTTTCATGTTATGGCAGAGACATGGTGCACAGTTATCTAATCTGAATGATGCTTCTGGAAAGAAAATAAGAACTTGAGTCTGGAAAGAAAGAGAAGAACAAGGAAAAGGACCCCAGTCAAACAGGGAAACCAGATCCTAGGAGTCTCTGCTTCTGGAGGTGACATTACTATATTTTAAGTGCATATTCCGATGTAAGTATTTAATAGAGTTACTGCCAGTGCAGAAAGTGGAGCTCAGCATAACCTGAATTCTGGAAATACATGTGTCATATCCCTGCCCCATTCCATACACTGAGTGGGACCACAGGAGCATTTAGCCTGAAGTATTTCTCTGGATGCTCCCATTTACCTGTTTAGATACATCTGCCTGTTTCTAATGATGATTCTCCACTGGACTAACTGCAGAGCAGGCTGTTCAAGTTTAGCTTCACAAAAATCTGCTGGTTCAGCTCCCATGAGCTCTGACCTATTTTGGCCAGTGTTCCATAGTTCAGACTTTTGCTGAAGGCATTTTGAGGGGTGCTCCACTGAACAGCCAGGGGGAGGAAGAGGTGGCAATGCAGGGTTGTTTTAATGCTTAAAGCTGCTGCCCAGATTGACACAGGCTCTTCTCTGCTGCCCACAAGGATATAATTGACTGCAGCCCTTCTGCAATGTCATCACTCCCAAGTACAAAACAAATCCTGAAACATGGGGCACACATTCCCCATATAACTCCAGCTGTGGGATGGGAGCATAAATATCCCTCTGGATGTCACCTGCTTCCCATGGAACTCCAGTGCCCTGGTGAAAGGCAGACCTGCTAAACCATCCCACATCACACCTGCAGCAAGTACAACCAGGATCAACTTCTGTGATCCTGAGGACACCTCTGTAACCCTGTGGGAGCCCCAGGGTGCCTGCCTTTGGGGTGCAGGTTATCTCATTGCTGTTATATCTGGATAAACACACTGAAACAAGTTTGGTTTATTTTTAATCCTGCCAGTGAGCTGAGTGGCAAAGCCCTCTCCCTCCCCACATGGATCTTCCCCTCCCTAAGCCCTCACTGGTCCCAGAAAACCCCACAGATCCCTGCAAAGCATCCCTCTCACCTGGGGCTGCAGTGTTTGCCTTCAAAAAGTCAACATCTACCTCACTGGGCTACCTGAGCCTGCAGAGTGTTTTAAAGCAGGAAATGCCGCCCTCCACCACGCTCCCAGGGACAGACTTCTACTCCTGTACATGACACACTTGGAATTGTTGATATGTGCTTTACCCAGGACTGACCTCATGCCAAATACTCACTTTTATTGCTTATGCTGGGATCTTTGCCAACACACACAGAATTTTCTTGGTAATTAGTGGAAAATACTGACTTCTGTGGCTCCTGGTGTGTAGCTCTCACCTATCACACAAAATTTATTTTGCCTCCTTGGCAGCCTGCAAGATCTTGGCTGTGTTAGACAAAAGGGAACTTACAAGCTTGTATTTACAATTGATAAAACAGAAAAACAAAAATACAGCCTAAACTCCAGCAACACCTTCAGAAACATCAGAGGGACAACTGGGTGCCTGCAGGAGGGTGGGGGCTGCCAATGGCAAGGCACGAATGGCTGGGACACTGAGCACCAGGCAGGAGTCAGGGGTGGCTCCCCTCCTCTGACAGCCCCACAGATTTTACTCAGCATTTCACATGAAGACAAATTCCAGATTTCCCTGCTCACCAATATTTGGGATTTGACAGGAGTGCAAAACACCATACTCAAGGCAGTTGGGGGAATACCTTGGTAAACACACTGCACAGCAAGGGGAGCAATGTGAGTGCAAGCCAGGCCGTGCAGGGGCCAGAGGAGCAGCCCCACAAGAGAAACTGGCACTGAAACAGTTCCAGTTTGATGAGTGTTAACAAAGCCTGGGTTATGGATCAGCCTGATTGTGAGGTTCATCCTCCTAGCAGACAAAGCTACATCTTCACGGACTTGTCACACAGCCCTGGAGCTTGCACACTGCCTGTGCTCACACAGGACAAGTTTCAGCTCTGAAGCTCAACACAGCAGTGGTTTGAGGTGAGAGCAGCTCAGCAGTGTCCAGGTGATACACATGCAGCATCCAGCCCAACCACACTGCCTTCACCAAAAGGAACATTCCATGTGAGCAATTCCCCTTGGTCACTTTTGCTGGCTACTTTAGGTAACCAATTCTGAAAACTTTTAATCTTCCCTTTCTTCCCTTTCTGTGCCCCCTGCACTGACAGGTCACTGTGCACTGGGATGGTCCTGGGGAGGCTGCTGTGCTGGCTGCTGGCTCTGCAGGAGGGTTGTGGCAGCAGCAGGAGCCCCAGCCTTCACTGACACTGTCAGCAACCTGCCCACAGCTCAGGTGTGAGGCTGAACTGGCATCTGAGCTGCAGGGCAGGAAGGGAACACCACTGGGGGTTTGCCTCCCACCAAGAGAAAGAGAATGGCAGATTCCTCCTAATGCTGGGGTAGGTTTCCAACCCAAGGATGGACTCAGACTGAACAGGCCAGTCCCCACTTCCATGGCAGTACCTGTGACTGCTCCTGTAGCTTCCCCACTGCCAATATCCTCACCAGTCAATGCCAAGTTGATTCTTTTCTGCAGCTTCTGACAAACCCCTCTTGGTTTATGCTACAGAGAGAGAACTTCAAATTTAACTGTGGGCAGGCCTCAATTCTTCCTTCAATGAGGGGGCATGAAGGAGCTGTAGAGGCCCAGCATTGCAGTGTATTTGAAATGGTTGAGAAGAGTGAGCATTTGGATTGCTGAGCGTGGACTGCTGGGGTCTGGGATTTTTTTGAAAAAAATTTAAACCCAAGGTACTGTAACACATTTGGAAATGATGCCTTTTCTCCAAATGGCAAGAAGTACTTTCAGGAGAAGCTCACATCTTTCCATGAGGAAGGGATTTGCAAGTGTCAATGCAACTGACCTTGCAGCAGATGTTGCACCTCCTCACATCTATTTCATTATTGGCCTCTGTCTACTTTAAATAAAAGTACTCCGCTGGACTGCAAACCTCCCTTTCTGTCGGGTAACTTGTCCTGCACCACACTGGTGGTGTCTAACTCACCTTGCAGCAATCTCAGTGTACCTGAACTCCAGCAGTTTAGTGCAAGATGTCATATGAGAGTTGTTGCCTGGTATAAACAACATATGTCCAACATCATGATGCTGGAAAGCATGAAAGAGGATAAAAGAGCAGATAACAAATTAGAAGAATCTCTCACCTTCCCCTTTTTGAGAACAGAGCAGGTGCTGGATTTGAGTGAGCAACAGCATGGTGCTCTGTTCAGTTCTTTTGAGTTTAGTGAATGATCCTTCAGGCAAGCTTTAGGATACACTACCTTATGAATATTAATCTATAGAATGAGTAATTTTAATAGTTGTACAATCCTATTTGCATTAGTGACAGAGTTAGTAATGAGTCATAAAAAAGAGGCAAAGAGAGAAAGCTTAGCATTCAATCTCTAGGCTTGGTAGCAAGAAAGAAAAATTACAGGCGACCTAGTGAAAATAAATCCTGGTTGTCTGCCAAATATATATTTCAAAATAAGGCCTAATTGCCTCAGGAAATACATTAATCAGAGGATCCCAGAGGCCTGAGAACCATTTGCTCCAATTGACCGAGGCAGAGTACTGATAAACACCTGAGCAATGCAAGAAGCTATACATGTCCTTGAGAAAAAAATATATGAGAAATACAAAAGGACATCTAAATAAAAGCTCTTAAACAAGTTTCTTGAGCAGCTTACTGACATCACTCTTGGGAGAGATCAAAGAAAAATGTTACTCTGACCATGAAACCAGCAAGAGACATTCGATAATCACTGAATCACGCTGTCCAAATTGAGATTCAGCAGGAGGCATCAAGAAGAATATCTCTGTGGTGTGGCTCAGACCATGGAGAGAGACAGGCCATGAAGAAATTATCAGTTTATGCAAGGGCTCTGGTGAAGAGCACAACTCCAAATGTCCATGGCTAAGGCAGGGGAAGGATGTGCTGAAAAACTGAAGAAGAGCTGGACATAAAAGCTAACATTTATAGCTTTCCAAAAGTGACAGTGGATTGGAGGGTGCAAGTGCCACCTCTCCAATGACACTGGACAAACTAACAGTCTTATCAAATTTGTCTTCTTCCATAAAAGAATGCCAAACAATAAGTTATTTACAGAAAGCGTGAGAAAGTTTGCTACAAGAATGTAAACATCAGAAAGCTTAGAAAATCTTAAAAAATCAAAGCAACACCCCCCAGCCCTCTGTGGGGCACAGGGCCTTGCCTTGCTGGTTTGCTCAGCAGTCCCTGGATGCACACACACATCCTGGCCCTCCTCCCCGTGTGTTACATAAGCTTCCCAGGGCTGAGGTGTAGTTGCTAAGCAGTAATTCTGCACGACTAAAAAAGAAACCCATGATTGCTAGGTTCACTAAATGTTTTTTTTCCCCAACTGCAATATAATTATAGCTATAATAAAAACATTGCAGAACATTCATCAGCATGCAAAAATTAGGTCAGGAACAAAGTGAGTACATCATATATGCTTTTAGAAATCTTTTCTCCTTTCCTTTGCCATTGAAGGGGGAAGGACCAGAAAAGTTTGTTATTGCATCAAATCATAAATAACAGGATTTTCCATCGTGTCGGCTCACCTGACATTAGCATAGCTCGTGTTCTTGTTTCAGAAGGCAGCTTGCTTCCCCATCACAGAGCTCTCCTAAAGCCTTGCCAGAGGTCCCTGCCCACAGCCTCTGCACACAGAGTTTTCCCTGAGCTCTGCAGTCTGAAATGGGGGTGCCCACACATCCCTCCAGTGGGGAGCTGTAGTTTAATCCCTTTTCCCCATCTTTTCCCGTGTCCAGCTGCCCTTTGGCAAGGTGCTGCAGTGTGTGTGCCCAGCTGCCCACAGGTACCCCCAGCACTGAGACAGCACTTACTCCTCATGGAAACCAATTCCTTCAGAGAACTAATCAACTTGATGATAGCCCTTGCTTCTCATAGACCTAGATTATTTATTCTATTGTCACTTAACTAATACAAATATTAAAAATACCCACTTTCTTTGTTTAATTAAAAAATCAAATAAATGGAACTTAAATAATGCAATTTGCTTGTGTGCAAAGCATCTGCTTGGTTAGCAAAAAAGAAATTTCAAATTCACTGTACAGACAATGTTTTTCCTGCATTGCCTCTTTAAAAGATTACCACTCAGGAAAGATCAATTTCATTACAACACTAAAAAAAACAAGACTAAAATGGAGGCTTTTGTCTATACACTTAATAAAAATATTACAATTACAGAGAATAAAGGAAACTCCCTGCATACAGATGCCTGAGATTCCAAGAAAACACTTCATTGAGTGTTGGGGTTCTCCATCCCACATTCCTGACCCTAACACAACATGTGACCCACATCCAAGAGATGTGCCCTCTGTAGGGGCAGCTCTGTTCCATGAGGGCTGAGCAGGGTGCCTGGCACACAGGGTCAGCCTTCATTAGTTGAATATTGATATTATCTGGTGTTGAACACATTCTGTATCATCCCTTGGCATGCAGTTTCCTTACAGCCCATCAGAAAGTGAGGCTTGGGGAGAGCAGAGGGTGCTGGTGCCAGCAGGGCCTGGCTGCCTGACCCCGGGTGCTGTGCTGCAGCTGCTGTCACCACTCAGGGGCAGCAGGGAAGAGCTGCATTTCTTGACATGGGTTTTTGGAGGGTGGTTCTATTTACTTTTGGGTGTGGGGGCTTGTAGGGCCTTTGCTTGCTCTGGCTTTGGGTTTTTTGTGTATTATGTTTGGGTTTTTTGTTTGTTTTTCTTTCAGCAGTAGCTCCCCATTTAGGTTTTCCTCCTTTCCTACAGAAACTTCCATTATCATAATCACTTGTAAAACTGTGCTTGAGAGGGGGCATCTCCTGCAGGAGGCTCCCTAGTAGCTCACAAACCTTGTTTGCCCCCTGGTGAGCACTGACCATCCCCAGAGCAATCTAGGCTTGCTATTTTCCGTGGTCTTTTCTCTCCCTGATCCACCTGTTGGGCACCTCTGCTTCCAAAGGCGGCTGAAAGCACCTGCAGGGCAGCAGCTGTGTCAGCAGCACTGACAGGGAGAGAGAGGCTGGGTATTTCAGTAATTATCCCAATTACTGCCATTTACTGTGTGCTTTCTGTTACGTGCTTTAGAAAGGGCAACTACAGCCACCTAGCTCAGGTTTACTTGCACAGCTGGGGAACAAGAGCTGCCTTTTGCTCGGGTGGACACGGAGTGCCAGCACCATGGCTGGAACTGCTGGGGACAGCCCTGTCCTGGGAACACGGCCCTGCCCCGGGCTCAGCTTCTGCTGGAGCACTGCAGCATTTCCTGGGAGAACATCCCTTCTCCTGGTCGCACTGTGAGGACATCCGAGTCTGCCACGGCCGGGGCTGAGAGCTGGGTGCAGTGACAGGACAGTGCCAGGGCCAGCCAGAGCCACTGCAAGGGATCCCCAAGGGCATGCAGGAGCGGTGGATGGCCTGAGGAGCCACCCAAAACACAGAGCTGAGTGAGGAAATGCACCACAAAGAGTCAGGGCACCAGTGGGCAATACAGCATGTTCAGGAGCTGGCTTGGAGCATGGTAGAGGTGAACATGTGTGGCTCTGGAGTGCAAGGCAGATGTGACTGAGCAGCGTGTGGGCCCCTCCTTTTGGGCTGGGGGAGGCAAGGCTATGGTCAGAGACATAAAGTTTTCCATCTGTTGCAGTTCATTGCCATAAATAAAGTGATAATGTGAGCTAATTAGTGCAGGAGTTATAACAGCAAGCCACTTTCAATACTACAGATAATTGAAAAAAACCTCAAACTAAACCATACTTTAGATTCCCTCAAAACTTCCCCCATTCTGCCCCCCCAGCAGCCCCCTGCCCAGAGCAGCATTCCCCACACACTTACCTGTGTACATCCCCAGCTTCACCTTTTCCTCACTGGCATCCTTCAATCTCCAGCTCAGGAGAGCTGCAGAAAGGCAGCTCACCCTCTCCCCGCCAGACAGGCAAGGCAGGGTGGGATGCAATGAGGCACCTTATTGCTGTCAGCTGGTTCTGACCACTAGGGGATTATTCCTCCTTGTGCTCCTCCTGCTCCAGGAGGCGTTTGCAGGGCTGACCAAAGTGTTTGCACCAGAGCTGAATCTCTGAAGTGCAAAGGAAATGTCCTAGGATGTGTCTGCATGTGAAATTTGGTGGTGTATCCATCTACTGTGGGCAGCTACAGCTGTGTAATTGTAAGCTGCCATTCCAGTTCACATAGAGGCAATTATAACAATAGATATATTTTATGAAGTAGTAGATGACTTGACAATACTTTTCTTGGTTTATTTAAGAGTTCTGAAGCCTTCTTGGACAAGGAAGAAAGGAGTTTTCAGAGCAGACAGGAATTTGTGAGAACCTTAGCAATGTGTCAGGAACCAAAATATTTAGAATAGTCTTGTCAAAATTGGTGAAACTCTAACTCATTTAAGTCAGAGGTTGTTCAGCATTAAAGTGCCAATGTGAGAAATGAAACAATCAGTATTTTTGAAACAAGTTCAGAAAGGAAAAATAAATAGCATGATGTTAGAGTTCTAAAAGCAAAATTTAATAAATTAATATATGCATGCCAGATAAAAATACAAAATTACAATTGAAATAGCAATAATAATAAAGGAACACTGTTCAGTATTGCAGATTTCACTGCAACCACCATAAACATCATGGAGAATTACTTAAAGTAACATTTAAAGTACAATTTTGTTTCTGTTAAAAACAAATTACTATATGATGAAAAAATGGAAAGAAACCCAGGAAGAAATCAGCCCCAGAAGAGAAGAATATGAAATGTCAATAAATGGCCAGAGGCTCCATTTCACAGAAGTCTGCCTTCTTTTTAGTATTAGAAACCAATTACATAGAACAAAAAGCAAATTCACAACAGGTTTACACGGAGAAACATGCTGAATTACAATCACAAACTATCCAGAACAAAGATGCTGCACCAGTTCAGTTGTTTTCTTCATGGAATGAGTCTCACCAGAACAGGGAGAACAGGGAGCAAATCATGCAATAGCTTTAGGCATTTTGTTTTTTATTTCAACATGATAAACACCCAGGATTACTAGTACTGGAAAGTATGTGTTAACCTTTTTCAACATCAGCTGAATAGCACTACAGAAACGACAAAGAGTTCCTTCATTTTTATCCTGAATACATCGAAAGCTCTAGCAAATATGGAATTCAGTGACAAGAGCCATTAAATTACTTTAAAATATTCCTTCATCCATAGAACACTGTTGCTTCCTTTTTTATTACAAAACCCCCAAAATATTCAAAATAAAATGTCTTCATTTTTTATAAGCATCTCCACCACAAGTCTCTGATAGCGGATGTCGTTCAGCGCGGCCATCGCGTCCAGCTCCGGCGCTCGCATAAGAGTTGGTCCAAAAACTATGCCCAGGTTTTCTGCACTCATCAGGTTCTCCTTTTCATGGAGCGTTACTCTGCAAAAAAAACCCAGTGATTCTCACATTTCTTCTGTGCCAGACCATGCCTGTGTATGCTTGAAAATCAGGGAAAATGGACAGAAACGTGTGCCTTTCCCAGCAGGTCGCACATGGGAGCGTCAGGTGAAACACTCGGGAGTGAGTGAAAGCAAATGCTGTGGGGGTTTGTGGTGACTCAGTGTCTGTCCCCCTCAGAGCACACAGACCATGCTCACCTGCACTGCATGAACAACTCCTTTGGTATACAAGAACTACAAACTCTAGATTTTTCTTCTGTTTCTCCCTTTCTGCCTTAGTTTTTATTTGAAAACATGTCAGACTGATGTTACTGAGTTGCTGTGTCTCCAGTCTGTAAGTATTCCAAATAAAGGAGCTGTCTGTGTCTGATTACCTGAATTCAGCAGCAAGGCAATGGCCTGTTGAGCAGCACAGCTCCTTTTAGCAAAGCATTAAACAGAAGTTTAAAAATAGGGAATTTTGTCACCTTTCTACCTTATCATTCCCTTATACCAGAAATACGGTGTGCAAAAGCGACTTGCTAGGTAGAGCAGCAACAGCTAATTTTGAACAGGGTGAAGAAAAATTAATTTCACACATCACAAGCTGTAAGGTGGAATTTTTGTTCCTATGTCTCTCATGCCTTTGTCTGTTTTAAAACACCCATTACAAATGTCATTGAAATAAAGGGACAAATCAGGCAGAAACTCAGTAGCTGAATTTTGCCTGAGGCACTCAGCAGAGTCAACACAGTCCTACTTGTAGAGGAACTACATAATGAAAAAAGGCAGAAGAGATCTTAAAATAAAGTAGTTTTTCTATGGAAAGGGAATGATTCTTATATATTGACAGTAAGTTCATGTTACTTGAGAAACTAAAATGGACACCCTAACATGCCACCTTGGTTTTGCTTTGCAAGGGACAATCCCCTGTGCCTGAGTTTTGCTGTTGTGCACAGTACCACTCCTGCCACAGGCCCTTTCCAGGATTTGGTGGGCCTTGACCAGACTTTTCTGGAGGTGCTAACATGGATTTTTGCTAAAAACGAGTGTGGCTTAGAGTTCTTTGCAGCTGTTGCACCCACCTCTTCAGATGTGCCATGAGATACCGTAATGTTTCACAGTGTGCAGGCGGCAGCAGCTTCAGCGCCTCGTGCAGAATTTCCAGCTGTTCATCTGGATCCGTGGTTTCTGAAACACAGATGTGCAATGTCACCACACAAACAGCCAGAATTCACACACAGAAAGGCAACAACCCGGCCTGCACAGGAGACAGGGTCTCACAGCTCTGCTGGGTTACTCATGGAGGATTTGTCTGTCCAAGGAGGGGCTCAGAGCACCGTAAGGATGTGACTGGTTTTGGACAAAGAAAACTCCCCAAAGCAAACTGCACTCCATTGAAAGATTCCCTGCAGCCTACTAAAAAAAATCCTCTGGCAATCTTGCTGACTGGACTGGTTTTGCACAAATAATCTACAGGTGCAACTCTGGGAGAGCAGAAGGTACTGGGAACTTTGCCATCAGTGCCTTTGGCTGTCTCCATACGACTTGGAAAAAGCCTTCTCCAAAGGAGCTGTAAGGCCAGCATGCAGTCCTTTGTTTTGTACCCACAGCTACCTCACACCTTTCCAGGTGGGGCTGGTGTGAACACATCACAGAAATGCTTCAGGCAGCCAGGATGTTTGGGAGAGAGTGTCCAGCTGGGCTTACTGCTGTGCTTGTAGACCCACTTTCTGCAAGGCCAGCCCCAAAGGTGGCTTTGGGAGAATGAGTGGTTATCAGCTTAAGAAAACACTCAAAACGGACAACTCCAGAAACAAATGACATCTTATTTCTAAACATTTCCATAAATCACCTTCTTTCTGGCACCATAAAACCAACAGACTTTAAATAATCACTGTCAAGTACCCAGGACTCATGCAAGACACACCAGGGATGTAATCCATAATGTGTGATGCAAAGGAAACATTCCTGGTGACAAAGGCAAAGGAAAATGTAACCATGCCCACATAGCATCACGGTCAGGCCGTAATGTGCACTTCATGTTTACTCCTGCAATCCTTACTAAATTGGGCATGCAGGGTAAGAGCTGATGGGACAGCTACAAAACAAATAGGACAGTCCTGCACAAAAAGGAGAAAAGGCTAAGAATAAAAAGTAGACAAAAAATGTGTTACACTTACTTGCAGACTCTATGAACTTTGGGTAGGCATCATATGTGATGAGTGGAATTGGCAAATCCCTGAAGTACAGTTTAAGTGCACCAGTGATAATATTGATATCTTCATACATATTCACAGAAATATCAGCTTTTTCCCCATCTGTGTGGAGAAGGCACTGATATTAAAGCCTTGGAAATGTAAACAGATGTAGAGCAGCATTCAAAAGAAAAATAATAACTCACTTAAGCAAACATTATTGAACAGGAAACAATTACAGATTTTGGCTGTTGTATGTAAAACTGATATTCATGGTTTCAGGGTGAAAACCTCAAGCATTTTATAAAATAACACATCTTTTCTTTGTTTCAAATAATTTACTAAAAAATACAGTTTGGGGTTTTTTTAGAACCTGCCTGAGTGAACTTGCAGTATCTGTCTTGTATGAAGGTATGGACATTTAGCTATTTCTGAACACACTGCATTGCAAAACAACACATTTATCAGCACTGAATGAGAAATCAGGGAGTCCGGGAAAAAAGTAAAAGGCAGAAAACCAGCTTTGTCCACAGCTCCCCTATTTTATAGGAAAAACGTGTTCACCATTTAACTGGAACATACTACCTACTCCAAAGTGCAGAGGACACACATCCAGAACTTGGCCTCTGCAGCACATCCCCACCCTGCTAACACTGCAGATGTGCTCCAAATCGGGCCAGTCCTCCAGACAAACAGGAAAAAGAGTTTCCAGCACGGATTCTGGACTTGATTTCTACTGGGATAGAGGGACTGCAGCTGGAAACCCCTTAATTTTCCCACTGTCTTTTCTCAGAGAGAAGAGTTTGTTTTCAGTGACCTTCTTTTAGTCTGTAATAATTCAAACTTTGTTTGCACTATTGCATTCATCTTATTATTTTGGAGCTTTCATCCAGAAAGATGGATTCAAGTTGCACAGCTCTCTTAAGGCACTTCAGCACTCACCCTCTATCCCTCCCCCACCCCTCCAAGCACAGTTTGACTTGCAAACTAGGGCAGTAGTTCACAAAGCTTTGTCCTTCCTACACACATGGTTACTGGAGCACAGATACTGATGGAAGGAGAAAAGTGGATTTTTGTAATAAAGGCCAGGGTGAAGCTGATATTCTTTTGTGATGGGGTGTCTCCCCTCCTGCCAGCACCCTCCTGTCTGACTCCTTCAGAGCACTGGAGCGAGACACAGGCTCTGCAGAAAAACTGTCTATATTTTATACATCAGCACCAAGTTCCAGCATGCAGGAAGACTGTACCTCTGTCAAATGCCATTTTGACATCTTCAATAAGATCACTAAATCCTGAGACTCGGTACAGTCCCTCAGAATTAAGACCTGCAATGAACATTTTAACAAGATTAGAATTAGTCCTGATTTTTACAGTGACCTTCAACCTGGTTCTTCTCTTGGCAAGTTTTTAATTTAAGGTAGAAAAAGCAGACATGCTTTAAAAGCCTTATCAGGTTTTTCTTCCAGAACGAAAACTTATGTGGGTTTTTAACCCTGACCATTGCAGTAGATGCCTTGTTCTATCAGCACTAAACTATATTTATAAAAATGACTTCAGAGCTGAAGGAATGTATTAAACCAATTACAGCTCATTTCCAAATAACTCAGATTAACATACTTGATGATCAGTCATTATTTCAGAATAAAGACAAGTACCCTAATTCTAGAAAAGGATACTCAGTGTGGGCTAGGGAGACTAGCAAGAATGAACACATTAATATGAACCCTCTTTGTTTTGCCACATTCATTTAATTTTTAAAATGAATATACTATTGGAAAGATAGGCACTAATATGTAACTACAAAACAGTAACTTTCCATTAAGCAATTTCTAGCAGAATCTATAAAAATTATAAATGGTATGAACCATGAAATAATGCACAGTATAATATTAGCTGTGCAGGGTAATTGGCAGTCATAAAATGTCTTGTGCAAATCTGTTTTGAGCAATCATACATTCAGCAGAAACCCAGATGACCCAGATCAATCTAAATGGATTATCAGTAAAGCAACAAAAGTCCATTAAGGATTCCTTACCTCTAGATTCAATTTCCCTAATGCACATATCCACCACCATTGGTCTCTTGGTGAAGTGTGCTTTTACTAGCGTGGTAAGGTCACAGCTGTACACTTTTTTGACATGCTTCAGGTCTGGCTTGCAGTCATTTGGGACCATCTTGGAACATTGCTTGTGCACATTTAAACCACAATCTGAGGGAAAAAAATGAAAACATGATCAGGCTGGTGTTTGCTGAAAATGTATTCTGAGATCAGTGCTGGGGAGTACAAATGGCTCCGGCAGGATCTGACCTCAGCTCACAGCAGTTACTTCTCTTCAGGGCCCTTAAGCACCAAATACCCGAAGAAGGGACAGCCCTGAAGTCAGAAGGATTTCCTACCCAAGACATTTATTCTGTTTCTGGGAGGTCTAACACAAAATGACAAGCTTTCCATGTGTTTTTTCAAATCAGGAGCTAGGGGTCAATTATGTTCCCCAGCACTATTACACACACTGCTGTCACAATGAAGACTTTTCTCCCAAGAAATTCCTAACACCTCCATCTTCCATGCAGCCCTGGACCTGGCACTTTAGACATCTCCTAGGGGAGATGAAGATAGGGACTGGGATACAAACAGGCTACAATCCCTCTGCAGCGAGCTGGCAAGGCAGTGCCAGTACCTGAGCCACTTCAGGGACAGGTGTGCAGCCCTGCCCTGCCTGGAGGGGAGCTGAGCCTAGCACTGACCCTGTGCCTCTGCCCAGTGCCACCTCTGCTGTTCTGCCATGCAAGCCAGGTGCTTGCAGGAAACAGCTGAGCCCAGAGAGAACAGCAGCACATCCCAGCGAGGGAGGCTGCCGTGCCCCGATGGGCACTTGGGACACACAGGGACCTCTGCTCTGCTCCTGCACCCTGCTGCCCTGCCAGCCCCAGGGCCCTGACTGCCACAGCATCAAGGGATGGAGGAGCTTGAAGGATCAATGCCCTGATGAAAATCTGTATTTCTTCTCTCACTGCAGGACTGGGTATCTATCTACTGAGAATCCCTTCCTGTTTGGTTCCTGCTGATTTTGCCAATACTTGTACCTCCATTAAAGCTCCAAGTTATGTGACTTAGTTTTTTCCAGAACAGTAAACCCCAGAATTCATGGCTAGGTTTAATTTCCAGTCAGTCAGCTGCAGCCTGCTGCTACAAGCACTTTGTTTACTTAAAAGGCCTGTAAAACAACCGGATTTGTCACTTAGGATCCTCTGGTTGCAATTAAAGTTTGGCATGTCACCTTCAATCCATCAAAACTTGCTCAGATCTTGATCCAGATACAATGGCTGATTAGAATTCTCTGGAGGTCTTTCTGTGCAGGAGTGACCTCTGTTCCCCCTGAGGAGCAGGAAATGGCCGGGCAGGGAGCTGTGGTGCTGATTTCCCTGCTGGCTGTGGCTCTGTGCTGTGAACCCAGCGTGGGCAAAGCCTCCCACCCAACCCCTGCACACACACACACGGTGCCCCCGGGCCCTCTGGGCTCTCCTGGGTACAACCCAGACCCCACTGCCGCCCTGCCCTGGGGGAACAGTGCTCTGGGCACCTGGGCTCCCCAGTGCTGCCAACGAGGGAACACGGACAGCCTAGCCTTGCTGCCACCTGAGCATGCACCTAAATCCCACATTTAGTCAAGGGCTCCAAGACCCCAAAGTGACCACCAAAGTGACCACACGCCCAGCATCTCCCTACCTGTTAGTTTTAGGGCACAGAACAAAGAAACTCTGAGCCTGCCAGGCAGCCACTTGCCTTTCCTTTAAATATCTGTGCCCTGTGCCACATTTTGCCTGAATTTTGAAAAACCAGGTCTCTCTGTGCTTTAAATAGGGAACCCACATTCACTGAAACATGTGACCTGAGCCCTCTAGTGAGTCACTGCCCCAGCTGTAACACAGCAAGGAAAAGCTGTTCTGGCCTCCTCTGGGTCTTGTAGAACCAAATCAATAAATGTTTGTGGAAATGCAAAGGTAAAATAAGTAATCTTTGGTGTAAGGTTTGAATGCTGTGTCATTAGTAACACCAGCACTTTTAAAAACAGGACAAAATACTGAATAGGTGCTATCAAGAAGTCTGCTTTCAAAATAAAGAGAAAAATCAGGAGTAAAATTAAAAAATAGTCAAATAATTAGAGGCAACATCTTAACACACACACAAGGGAAGCAAATTGAGACCACATAAGAAATCTTAAATCTTGACTTCCTTCATTTAGGAATAAACCTTAACATTGCAATAATAGTATTTACAAATGAAAATATAATTATTGTACATACAATTCCTAAAATTGCCTCAAAAAGCACCTCTCCCAACAAGTATGAAATATCTATCAAAAATGATGTCTACAACACTGGGATGGCAGCACCTCACTCATGAGGACTCATGAAGGATTCTGTGAGTGCAAATTAGCTGCTTCACACAAACAGCAGTATAGTTCAGAGTCACATTTCTGGGAACCCAAGGATAATTAAGAATAAAATACACCAAAAAAAAAAAAAAGAAAAAATACATACTCCCAAGTATCTTACAGTTGAGTTAAACCAATTATTGCCTTGACTGAGATAATCTTAATTATATTTATATACAAGAAAGTTTCAATTCATTAAAATCTCAATTTACAGAGATGTTTTCATTGCGAAGACCTTGCTTCTGACAGTAATTGTGTTATTGCTAATCCCATAGAGTCAGATAGGCTTTGAATCTGACCTCATTAATCCTAGAATAATAATTACAAATGCAGAAGTCAACTTTTCTCCTCTCTCATTTGTTCTTCTTTTGCATTTGATTAGATTTTATGCACCAACCCACTGCTTAAGGGCTTATCAACACTCCTGAGAAACATTTAAAACCTGGAAATATTTCAGATACCTAATGTTTAGAAAATATGTGAGCCTTATGTCCAGGATTATTGGGCTGTGTGGTGTCCTTGTAATAACTAAGGCTTCTTGCCTCTTGTGTAAGCACAGAAAAACATCTTATTTTAGCAATTTCATATCAGTAAATATTTCAAGGTTATTTCAGGGAATTTATATCAGAAGATGGAATTTTTTTCCAATGAAGAACCTGAAACTCACCAGTGCTGTGCTTCCTGAACCAAGTGGGCCTCTAGCCCCAGCTGACAATCCTTCATAGAAGGCAAACATCCATGTCTCAGTCACTTCACTCACCTCTGGTTCAGCTGATAGCTAAGGATGATGTCTTGCTAACTCCACCAAGCTCAAAAGCCCCATGGCAGGAGGTCAGTCCTCCTCTCCACAGAGCACTGGCCACGTCCCAGTTCTGCACTTAACCATACTCAACTTATTGTCAGCCCTAAACAACAGGAGTTGTACTGCAAACTGAATAGTGTTAAATAAAACAAAGTCCTCTGTTCTCACTGCAGATGCTTTGAAAGCTCCAAAAGTCATTATTTTAGAACCAAGTGGGAAGGAAGAGGAAAGCCAAGTCCTAAATCTCCCTGCATGCTGCCGTGGGGTAGTCTTAGGACTGCTGGCCTTGTTTGCACATGAGCTTTGTAATTTGGCTGGGTTCATTAAGACCAAGAGGATTAATTTAACTTCAAACTGAGGGCCTATTTACTTTTCATTATGTCAAAATAAATCCAGAATAGCAGCTTTACTCTGGATCTAAAGTAACCAGGAGCCTTACCCATTTCTTACAGAACCTGCTGGCTGGTGAGGAGCTTCAGAGAAATCCCCCTAAAGCATTGTATCTGCTGATAAATCCTAGAATAATACAGGACAGATGTAAAAGATGCAGTCATGAGCTCTTGCAGATCAATAGTAAAACTTCTGCTGACTTCAGTTAATCAGGTTCACCTTATAGAGATGATTTCTCAGAAGTAGAATTGTAAGTCACTCTTACTGTTCCTTTTACAGTGCTATCAAACTGTGGCCACCTTTCAAATATACCACATGGACCAAAACCAATGCAGTCATAAATTCAAGAGTTTATAGGAAGTTTGGAAATTTAAGGAGGGTGCACAGACAGTAATTTCAGATGACAGGTCTGAAAGTCGGTGATAAGCTGCCCTGGCTTTAACAGCATATTGATCTAGGAGTTCAGATGGGCTGTGACATTACTTCTATGAGAAGTAGTAAATTTAAAACCAGCCTGACAATAGTTTCCTATGATGCCTAGAAAAGGTCTGGTAATGTTATAGAAACAGCTAATACTGATGTTAGTCCACAGGGCTAAGAGAACAAATAACATGTTCATATTAAATGCATGAGCAGAACCAACAGATAGATGTATGTTACTACTGCCCCATGAGCACATAATATAAGTATTTGCAGAGACTCAAATATACTCAGCTGTCATGTTTTGTTATACTGTTGATTTGAATTCAGTCAGTTTTAGATTTCCTTTGGCTGATGATTTACTGGCTAACATGGCTGCTGATCATGCTCCATCAGAACGACACCATGTGCTACATACATCACTCTAATTATATCTCCAAATTATCCCCCCAAAATTGATGCCTTCTATTGCTCTGAAGAGCAGCTTTAAGAGCTAAAGGGTAGATATACACTATCTGCAAGAAGTCTTGAAAGACTCTTCTGAGATTTGTGCTAAGTGTAGGAGGGTGGGCAGCACGGAGCTGCAGTGCTGGCACCGAGTGCTGCCTTGGGCTGGTCCATTGCAGCACCTACCAGACAGGGCAACATCCTCACACCTGAGCTGACACAGGGCTCCACACAAGCACAAAGTACTGGCATGGCTCCTTCTTGCAAGGGTGAAAAGGTTAGAAAGCCATTTGCTCTCATACATCACTCATGAGCTCATAGCTTTTCTTTAAAAATGTATCACTTTTTCTGTAGCAGAGGGAGCAGCGTTTTCTGTTTCGTGGATGCAGCGTGTTCCAACAGGCGAGGGAAGGCAGCAGCCCCAGTGGCCCACGTGCTGCACTCTGTGCTTCCAAGCACAATCCAGCAGGGTGCTGGGAAGGTCTGCCCTCTCCCTCCTCCTCCTCCTCAGCTGCGTGGCTGCAGCCTGGCTGGCCACACTGGAGCTGCCACAGTGCCTCGAGCATGTGCTATGTGTTCATCTGCAGTGCACATCTGGAAGCAACCCTGGTCCCACCCGAGCCTTAAGCCACTTCACTAAGCAGCCCCATGGCAAAAATTGCTTCCATACATATGAGTATGCTCCCTAAAATCTCCTTTCATCCACATCACTGT